GTTCGAGCAGCTCACGCTTCTTGAAGCCCTCGGTGGCTCGCAGCTCTTCGGAGAGGCCGACTCGGATTTCATTGAACTCTGCCTTTACCTCGGGACCTAGTCCTGGTCAGTGATGGTTCAGTGGTTTGGCCACGGTTCTCTTACCATCACTCGCGCGAATCCATTTCAGGCTTTCATACGCTTCGTCATATCGACCCTTCTTGGCCAGCCAGCGGGTACTCTCGGGCATGGCAAACAAACCCAATGCAAGAACTCCTGCTGGGACCATTTGAAGACCGACCGGGATTTGCCACTGCTTCGAAGATACCGGCAGGGTGATCTTCACCGCATAGTCAATCCAGTAGCTCAACATGACACCCAGCGCAAAGAGCCACTGCATCCCTGACCCCAGCTTTCCCCGAATCTCTTTTGGCGCCATCTCGGCGTTGTATGCTGGGACCACCGCTGTACCGGCACCAAGACCCAGCCCAGCCACAAACCGCCCGATATAGAAGCAGACTAGCGAATGCGACGGTACAACCTGGATGATTACACCGATGCAAAATACCGACATGGCTGCCTGCACGGTCTTCTTCCGTCCGAACCGGTCGGACACCCAGAAGATGCTCAGTGCGGATAGAAAGGCGCCTACATTCTGCAAACTGACCATCACCGCACTGACGGTGGTTTGGTCTTTGTAGCCGAAATCATTGACGTAGGATTTGAACTCGAGGATTCCACCTAGAGGTGTTAGTCGATGCCAATCCAGCGGGATATAGCACTTACCAACGATGCCAGTATCATATCCAAACAGGAATCCAGCAGTACAAATGAAGAAGCCAAAGAAGTACGCTCGGAAAGCACCCAGCCTCGTGCCTGGTAAACCCATAGCGTACGCAAGAAGAAAAAAAGTCAACCGGAGAACATGCCGATATAGTTAGAAAGATCAGACTTTAAGTTACAACAGCTTGGAAGTCTCTCTGCGCACGCAACCTGTGAGCGCGGATAACGCCATAGCACGCCATAGCGTTGAACGTCACCTATCAACGTTGACTTAGGGCTGTCGGGAGGCCTTAGCTGGCCAATGAGCCAACTTACTCTTGAATTATACCACCTAAAAGGGATATTCCTTGGATTTAGTACATCTATCTAAACATTGCCTTCCTTTATCTGCTTCCATGGATCTCAGCTTTCCCCGCATTTTCGGTCGCCAAGGCGGCTCGTCGGCTCGATGGTCGGCTCGGTCGGCCATCGGCTGGCGTTGACATGTCTATAGACCCAGTTGATACACGTCTGTGTACACGTATAGGGGTGTCATCGTGGATCATCCACATTCACTTCGGTCTTCTGTCTCCATTTCAATTCTCGGTCAATAGATCTTGGCGATTTTTTGAGTCGCAGGATTTCTAAACATGAAAAGATGACTGGCTTACATATGCCAGGGCTATGGAAGAGATTAGTCTATGGTCCGAAGTAATATATATTGAGGGACAGGTCTAACAATCAATAGGCTCATTAATTCTTCGTCCTGCAACATCCGTTGGTCGTGTCAAGCGGAACCAACCTCATTTTGTACCCCTTGCCTAACAGACTCGGGCTCCGCCACAACTGTCCACCTATCACCATGCCCGATTCTACAGGGGCGTAGACCGCCAATCAGATTGTCATCTATGTAGAGAGGCAAGGAGGATTGTCGATCAAAGAAGCCACGTTCTATGCGCCCCGTTCTCGCTTTGAAATATTGGATCATTCCACCATTGTAATAGTCGAGCAGTGTGTAGCAGCAAACACATCCAGTACATGTCTACCGGCAGAACATGCGAGGTTTGTCGTTTTACCCCTGGTTTCTCCCTCGCAGGACACACCCGAAAGAGGTCGGGCTCACTTTGTGTATCTACATAGACTCGAAGGGTTGGGTTTATAGAGGATATAATTCAATTTGGAGATGAGACTTCCAGCACGCATGATACTGGACATCAGAAATATCTATAGCATCTATTCTTTAACAGTTATGTATATGTGTGACAGAAATACATACTATTACCAGAGAATGCCATGTTCTGATTATACCATTCTAATCCCATGATGTACGAGTTACTCTGGACCGAACTCTCCTTGGTGGTTCGTCGTGATACAAGAGTTCCGGCGCTGTGGTTGTATGGACTCGAGTTTCTCTCCACCCCGCGCTGTCTCGTACCAAATTGAAGGAGCACGTTTTGTGTCGACTCGGAGGTTTCACTCGGAAACATTATCGCCTTTGAGCGAGTCGGCGACGATCTCGGAGGTTTGCTGGATCATCTTGGCGATGCGGCCTCGACTAACATGTTCATGTAGGGCCAAGAAGTGCACTGAGAATCAAATAGAGCCTAATACTAAAGAAAAGTTGAACCTGTGAATTTGTGTGAATGGAGTTGGCCTCAGAAGCACAGGGTCTCTCTCATATAACCATGCGAGGAACCCTTATCCGGGTCTCTCAATTGTTCTATGACAACTTGTAGAAACCTAAAAAATCACAACGAAGATGAGATAAACATCTTTATTCATTGATGGACTCGGTACGCTTTTGCAGAATATGAATGCCTGCACAGTTCCGTTAAGGGTATGTTTGTCTTTGAATCCAGGCCTCATTCGTTTGCTCTCTCCTGTTTTGTTTACACAGCTTAGCTCCCATCTTGGCTTTCCTTAGCATATAGTCCAGTGTCCCCGTAGAAAATAGTACGCAGATCATTCATCTCTTTTCCCTCCCCTTCTCTCTCTCTCGCTCTCTGGTTTGTGGTCTATTAGACACTTGACCTAGATTGCTACGATTATCTGTTACTGCATCAAAGGTTGCTGTCGAGGTCAAAGCAAGCAGGAAAATGGTGGCCTGTGAAACAACCGGGTTATACCACAACGTTATTCATTTTTGATAAAATATTAGCCCACTGTCATGCATGGATTCTATTCCAGCTTGCTGTGTCATGTCATATAAAATGTTTCTTTTGCTTTATACCTGTAGCTCATCTGGTGGGTGGCATTGTAGGTAGTATCGCAGAGAGGGACTTAATTCACCCGATACTACTCGGGTTATGAATAGAGTCACACGTGCCTTCATACTAGATACGGCTCGTTTCTTTTCACTTTGAGTCCAGTGACCACATAAAGACGCGCTTGGTGCATCCTTGGCTTTTCTCTTCTTCAACGTCCCGCCTCCTGCTCACCTTCCTATCTTCTCTGGCAAGTCCTATCCATCTTCATATTCTTCTGGGCCAGACTAACAGGAATACAACATCCAGCACCCGCAGCAGCCATGCGTATCAAAGTTAGCCCTTTTGGGCTGCACCCAAACCAGTTCTTGCAGGACTTCAACGTCCCGTACCACCCAGAGCTTCCAATCAGCTACCTCTTCAGCCTCCTTAGCAAGGAGCGGAACTGGAAGACAAACTCCAGGACCTGGAGAAAAAATTGGAACAAGTGTATGGCATGTGAATATGACCGCCTGATCGGATATTGCAACACGAACTTGGAGACCTGGCAAGAGCTATGCCGACAGGTGGGCATCGAAGGGAGTTTCATGTCCATTACGAAGTGCAAGAAGGTTTGTTCATGTGTACTTCCCCGATGGAATCACCGGCTAACTCGACCAGGCCCTTGCCGGCATCCATGTCAATATCATAGACGTCCTCGACTGTTGGAACACCGACGATGTTCCTCGCCGCTTTGCCAGTGTCCGCCAACTTGCGGAGTACACCAAGAAGACCAACAAGACATTCAACCGTCACGTTGCCAAACAGGATAAGATCCTGAGAATTCTGCTGCGTCGTATTTTCTAAGGTGTGCAATGGTATCGTTTCGGGTGCAGGATCTGAGGAACGTTGGATTGGTCATGGTGCTGCGATGATCAAGAAAGACAGTTAGCAAGTTAGGACTTCAATCAAATTTCAATAAGCTTCCAGGTATTCCTAGTCACCTACTGTTTCTCAATGATGGTATGTCATAACTTGAAGTTAAACAAATTCTCCCAAGGTGAGCCGAGAGAAGGTCAACAGATCACCCGATGGAATTTCAACCGGCTTCTGGAGCCCACCACATCTACTTGTCATCAGACGAAGCTTTGGAATTCCATCAAGCCTGTTCATTTCGCCATGCGCTCATTCATTGGGTTCATCGGTGCCCTCCTCGTGTTCGTCAACTTTGGCCTGTCCAACACCCTGTCCTACGAGTTCAACGTTCAAGATGCTGGTAATGCCACCTTCGACTACGTGATTGTCGGCAGCGGCACGGCAGGTCTGACGATTGCTGCTCGACTCAAAAGTTGCGAATGGCTGTAGTGGAGGCTGGAGGGTACTACAAGCTCATACATCCAGTTGCGCGAGTCCCGGGATCTTGCAATCTCGGAGCGGGTGCAGATGTGCACACTACTATCCCGATCGAATGGGGCTTCGCGGCCCATCGAGTACCCGGTGCAAAATTTCGAGATATTCATTATCCAAGAGGGAAATGCCTGGGTGGATCGTGGGGTCCCAAACAAGTTTTCAGAGCGGCCCTGGCTGATATTGTAGGTCTGCATCAAACTTCAGTGATTTATCAAGATAAGTCACAGCCAGTCCAGGTTTACAGACAATAGAGACTGTATTTTGGCAGACCATAGGTTCAATCAATGGCGATATGGGCAGAGCTTGTCAATGACTCCAGCTATCTCTTTGAGAATATGTTGCCTTATGCAAGATGGGTATCGGCAGCGATCGCATGGCTGTTAATGACAATCGCGCCAGATTCTTTGATGTCACAGGATAGCGAGCCGTCGATGCCGGTGCATTCCTGATCCTTCCACCTGGGCACCCTCAATCAACAGGTTGTAGTGAATCTTGTGCCAAAAAAATTTATCACATCTAACAATCTCCAGTCATGCTAGCAGAAAAGATTGCTGTAGACATAATTATCAATGGGTCGGCATGATGCTTGCAGTCTGCGAGACCCTGTCAAGGGCCACGGCAAGAACACCATGAAAGACAGCAATGGAAGTCATTATAATTGTACCATTACCACATATCTTCCAAATACATCTGGTTGAGAGTATCAAACATGTTGTAGTCGCTTGGTAGACTATCAGCAGAAAAGGCAAAGCCGAGATTGTTGACAAAATGCTCATCGGGATTGGGATCAATCCCAAAGTCATTTGCACCATGTCTATTACCCCCATAGATATCCCTCGCAGAGGAATCAAACCCATTGATAGTGGCAAGCGGTGGTGTTAAGAGGGAATCTTGGGCCGGTACGTCATTTGGGCCCGAAATACCCTGTCCAAACTCAAACGGTGGTGCCATAAACCCATTACCAGCATTCAGTTCTGTCGGGTCTACCGGTTGACAAGGCATTGTGCAGCACGCATTAAACTCCAATGACGGGGCAGATGGCATCTGATCAGCATTGCAGTTCAGTCGCTGACAATATAGTTTCTCTAAATTGCGTCCGATACGCTTCGAAATATCCCAAGACGTTGAGAGTTCTCGTAAAGCCTGAAGACAGAGTCCTATAGCGGCGTGTGGCGATGGACTCTTTGCTTGGGTCTCTTCGGAAATTGAGGTGGGAACAGAACATTTCTCGATGATGATTAATGCTGCCGATAGCATGCAGTGCGTAGGTGTCACAGGGCTCAGCTTGAAGCTGCCAAAAGTCTGTCTGTACTTCTGAGCCACGACACACACTGCCCGAGCAGAGTTGTCGCTAATAGTGATGGCTTTTTGTCTGTGTCGTGTTTCTGATGCATCGCTATTGGTGTTATGTTGGACTTGTGTATTTTGAACGCAGGCCCCTGTGGCATCAGAATGATTTTTTAGGAAGGGTATACATAGCAGAATGTAGACGGTATGGTATACCATGCACAAAGTGTAGGTGTGTGGGAATCGGGAGGGGCCGGATGGACGGTCAATTTTTAACTCTTGGGCGAGGTCGTAGTACCACGTCCTGAGGTCAAGGACACAGGACTCAAAAAATGATAATCGCTGTGTGGCTTGGAGAAGTGGCTTCGGGGACCAGCTATCAAAATCGTCAGTGAACACAGGTATAGAAACGAAGTGCTCATCAAACTCACAATGCGAGAAGGACTTTTTCGAAAATACGACACAAATCAATCATTGCCCGGTGCAACTGTACCACATCTCTTTGGGAGGCAGCCCGGAGTTGCCCGTTCCCATTTGCTGAGGGCAAGCATACATCCGGTGCACATAAAGCGAAGGGCTTATTCACGACTCCTTGGGAGTCCTGTGTGACAAACAAAGGTGAGCTTAGTAAAGAAAAGGAAGAATCGAGGTTTTGAAACGTACCAGTAACGTGCAAACCCTACCTGTGTAGCTTGCTGACAGCTTGTCGTGGCAATATAGGGCCCAGTAAATCTGCCTGCGTAACTCGATCTCCATGCTCGGGAGAGCAACTGCCCCCGAGAGGACGGATGGATCCATGTTCAATCCCATATCCAGCGCCAGACGATTGGCCATGCCCTGATGAAGCCACCCAGCGGCGTCAGACCCCATTGCCTGAGTTCGAAAGTCAGTTTGTCTTGTTCATTCCGTATGGCGAGGTAGGGCTTACTATATAGGCCATGCCTAGAATAGCCAGTGACTGTATTGTTGTAATTTTGGGCCATTTAAGATCATTCTGGATCAATTTCTCGGCTTTCTTAATGAAGACCCTGCCGGCCGTGTTCGAGTCATTGGGGTCTGATCGGATTTCCATGCGTTTGCAGTATCGTGACCCCATAGCTAGAATGCAGTTTAGCAGAAGTGGGCTGAAATACCGGCCTCCATCTTTCATGGAATCTCGAAACAGCTGCTCGTTCACCATTTGCAGCCACGGCTGCTCCCACTCGAAATACAAATCGATCAGATGGGATTTTAGTTCATCGGATATCAGGCTTTCGGCTAAAAGGTCAGTGTCTTCATGAGGTTGACTTGCATAAGCAGTGCCGGAATTCCATGTGCAAGGACCGTCGGTTTGATGCGTCTCTTTGGGCGGATCTTGAAGTGATCAGCCACACTGCTAGAAAGCCTCATCTCCGACTCACCCTTTGATGAAGAGCGAAACAGCAACCGCCCACTTGTCGGCCCAAAGTATCGCACCTCGCCATCTTGGTCAAAGTTCAAAGACTCATCCAATGTGAGCGCGCCGTCAAATGTGGTACATAAATCATCGACATTTGAGCAGGGCTCTGCCCACTCGGCGTCAGGCTCTCGATCAGGACTATCCTTTTGGCCCAACAGTTGAATCGCAGTGTCTGGATCAATCCCGCGAGAGTGCAAGACACGCTCCAGAAGCTCTATTCTGTTACGCAGCATGACCACATATGACTTGGGAGCTGGTTGTCGGCCATCCTCCGCAGTCGAGTACTGACATTGGACGCCACGGTCAAGACAGCGTGAGCATGATGGTCGGACACCATCGCACTGTAGAGCTTTCATGTTAATATGGTCCATGAATGCAGTGTCGGATATACGATTCTTACCTTGGCTCGTCGTTGTCGACATGTCTCACAGGCGCGGGACGTATACTTCCTGCCCGGTCGCCTACGTCTAGCCGTGTCATCTGTCGGCGCCAGGGACATTGGAAAAGAACAAACGCTAAATGACGCGAGAGATCCTTACAATTATCTGTAGAAGCTTGAAGAGAGACCGATGGGCAGTAACATTACAAAGCAGCGCAAATTGACACCTTAATGCCTGAGGCTACAAGGCAGTGATACTGATGCCTGTTATATAAGGCTACAAAATTAGGTCATTTTCAGGTGTCGACCTGGACACCACTGGGCAGTATGGCTTGATGTGTTGCATATTTACTATTGTTATACGTGTAAACCAAACTGACTGTTTAAAACGAGAGCTTATACTTGCAGGTGTCTACCAATATACACAGATATCTGTAGATGAACCAAAATTCGAATTTACGGTCCAGGGGAAATATATACATGGAATATATATAACTGAAACTGAGGTCGTTCTCAACTCTACAAGTACAAGACGTAATACTTTCTCGTCATAGACTCGACACGGCAAGAGCCAGAGGATGTGATTGGGGAGAAGCGTAAAGTTTACTCGGGGAGTATCTCAGTGGCCTATACTTAACCAGTAGGAACTGGTCCATCCCCGGTTCTGCAAGGACAGGGATTGGGGTACAGTTATGTGTATTCTATCAGGTGATTACCCCAGGAGGCTTGGCTTTGTAGTAAAGTACAAGTAGGGTAGTTAATAGTAGTTAATAGTGGTAGGTTGATAGCAGTAGGTTAGGTGAAGAGTAGTAGGTTAATAGGGTAGAGTAGGCTATAGTGCAATTCCTCTATGCCAACTTTGTAGAGGCAAGGGCATTAACAGCTAAATCACCCAGAATCACGCCGAATAACCGCGTGTTCTAATATTTTCGAGATCCAAAAGCACTTCAAATGGAAGTACAGAAGTACGTGTGGGAATGTGCCAATCACCGCCCTCACATCCCCTCCCGACTCTCCCTCCTCTCCCACCTCACCTTTCCATTCCATTTCTTTCCTTCCATCTCTGTGAATCTTGAGGGGTTGTCTATTATCCAGCGCGTTGCTGTCGCGCCATTCCCTCCGTTAACCTCCATTTCGTGTTTCAGAACGTGTTCCGGATCACTAGACTGCGATTTGTATCGCGGTTGGATCATTGAACCCCCAAGTTCCTGAACTTCATCATGGCCAGCTGATGCTACGGATGAATCAATAACCTCGATAAAGGGCACCCGCTCTGCCCTGCAGACGGTTCTGCTGAACGCTACAATAGTTGTTAACACAATCTCCCATATTTATTCGACTTGTCTCCGCCGTTTCCCGCGAAGCTCCAACTCGCTCCGCCGAGCGTATCAGCATGGCCAGCAATGACTCCCCCAAACCCCAATTCCTCGCGCCTCCCGCCGTAACTGCTCTCAGGCAGGAGGCCCGGAACATCGATCCGAAGATGACTCGAACGTTGAGTGATGATATGCGGGAGGAACGGGAAGAGTTGAAGGAGGCAGCAGAACAGACGTTGAACATCATTGTGGATATGGACCTGGAAGGTCGCATTAAATGGGTCAGCCCATCGTGGAAACAAGTGGTCGGCTCATCGCCCGAGACAGTGGAAGGGCATATGATCTCAGAGATTCTCCTGGGCAACAAGGATGTATTCCGGGATTCGATTGAATCGATGAAACAGGATGACTCGCGGAGTCGTTTTATTCGCTTCGCGGTACAGATGGGACCGGATTCAGTTTTGAAATACGCACCGGAACCGCCACCGGTCGCGAAAGAGAAGAGTGCAACGAACACAGAGACTGTCGAGGATTCCCAGCCCGAGGAAGAGCAGAATCACAATGTGCTCAATATGGAGGGACAGGGAATTATGGTCTACGATCGGACAGATGATGAAGGCGGCCATGTGAGTTGACTTTCAAATAAATTGCCGTGATGGTTCACTGACCTTCCCCGACGACAGACCATGTGGATGTTGCGACCACTGACCGAGCCAAGAGAAGTAACAATCGATCTGCCGCCTCTGCTCGTTGAGTCTTTGGGGGTTGGAGCGGAGGTACTGGCAAACTACCTGACCGAACTAGCGGACGCAGCAGCAACAGAACCAGACCCCTCCAAGCATCCTGCGCCAACACCTGTCCTCTGTCGCATCTGTGAACGCCAGATCACACCGTGGTGGTTCGAGAAACATTCGGATCTTTGCCTGCAGGAACACCGGGCGGAGATGGACGTTCAACTGGCACAGGAGAACTTGAATGAGCATCGGCATGTCATTGTCAAGGTGTTGGATGCCCTAGAAGCTCGTCAAGGCAGGCCCTTGGTCGGCGGCGATGGCAATCCGACGCCTCTCCCTCAAGCGGAATACAAGGGGTTGTCCATCGGTCCCTCGCCCACCACTTCCGCTCCATCATCTGGTGGTGTCTCCAGCAGTAACTCAGCACCCGGCACACCACCTCGGTCGCGAGATCACTCCGCCTCTGGTGCTATGCCGAATCGACCCCGTTCTTTCACCGTGCGGAGACCACTGGCTCGTATTGTGGAACTTGTTCTTGACCTATGCGATACATCTCTGGAGATTAGTATGCCGATGATCAAGGAATCCGCCCGGACTGATGGAGAGGACTTCCGGACATTGTCTCCACAGTCTGAATCTCGAATCTCCCAGGTCCTCCAGTGGCAGTCCCCCAGTTCGAATACATTGGAACAGGAGCAGGGTCTGGCCGCATTGGCGGGAGACACCGAACAGGTTGCCAAGGCGAAAGTTGATGCTGTTGTGCGTCATCGCAAGATTGTTGAGTATGCCGAGCGTATTCGGATCGAATACACGGTGTTGGTCGAAGAATGCATTGAAGCAGCACTCAGCAAAGCAGAGCGCATAGCCTCTGGTCAGCTTAGTGACTCTTCATGCTCTTCCGACGAAGAAGCCCCGCCAGAGAGCATCGCTAGCAGTCATGTTGCCCCCGATGACATTGGCAGCAACATCGAGGAAGAACCCTTGTCACAACCCACAGGCCAGGATTTGCAACAACAAGCGCAGCCACAGCCAGCAGCGCCCTCCCCGCGGCGACCAGCATCTGCGTTGACTATGTCCATGCGAAACTCACCCGAACGGTCGTTGCTCTCACAACCAGAACGGAGGTCATCTTCGGTGGCAGTCTCGACAGGTTCCAACAGTCCCATGGAATGTCCCACCCCAAGGTCTCACAAGAGTGCTGCAGGACTTCTGGGTACATCCCAGCCTTATCGCATGGGCCTTTCCTTGGCGGATATTGACGCTGGAGAGAGTAGTGACAGCAGTCTGCCTTCTTCTGCTTTCCCAGGAGCTGTGCGAACAGACTCGCCTTCTTCTGAGAGGAGCTTTGATCGAAAGCGGAGAAGCTTGGTGCTCCCTGGGCTCTCAAGCTCTCCTCGTCGACAACCTTCCCCCGCCCGGGTTTCTGGTCCGCACTCTCCATTGCGCATGCCAAAACCTCGCATATCAAGCGGCGCTGACAGCCTACCTTCCCCAATCGTATCCCCTTCCACATACGCAAGTGAGTTGGCGCACCACTATCGTCACCACCGAAGGCAGTCATCGGCGACGTCCTCTGATGTTGCGAAGCCACCACCCTCTCCCCGCCTGCCGTCCGTGAGCCAACAACCTCGACCAGCGCCACTATCTATCAAAGATTTTGAGATCATCAAACCAATCAGCAAAGGTGCTTTTGGTAGTGTGTATTTGGTCAAAAAGAAAGCTACAGGCGAGTACTATGCCATGAAGGTCCTGAAGAAGGCCGACATGATCGCCAAGAACCAGGTCACCAACGTGAAAGCTGAACGCGCTATCATGATGTGGCAAGGTGAGAGTGACTTTGTTGCGAAGCTCTACTGGACCTTTTCCAGCAAAGACTACCTCTACTTGGTGATGGAATATCTCAATGGTGGTGACTGTTCCTCGCTGGTCAAGGTTCTCGGTGGTCTTCCTGAGGATTGGGCTAAAAAGTACATTGGCGAGGTTGTTCTTGGTGTTGAACACCTTCATAACCGAGGCATTGTCCATCGCGATCTGAAGCCTGATAATCTCTTGATTGACCAAACCGGCCATTTGAAGCTGACTGACTTTGGACTTTCACGAATGGGTTTGGTCGGACGGCAGAAGCGTGTATTGAAGAGCCCCGATGAGGCCGCCCCTGATCTGCTGAAACAAGGCTCTTTTCCTCGTGCGATATCAATCACATCTTCACGGTCGGCTTCATTCGATTTTCAGGCCAGCTCATCCCCAGGGTCTACTCCTCTTATCACTCCGGAAGTGAATGCCAGTGCCAGTCAGCCATCGTACTTCAACCTCAACCAGAGTAGCTTGAGTCGGCAGAGCTCCCGTCGCGCCTCGGGATACCGCAGTGACAGTATGGGCAGTGATGGCCTCAATGGAATCTTCCGAACTTTCTCGCTCAATGACAACCCCAATGAACCATCGGTGTCATCACCGAGCATGTTTTCAACCAGCATGGTCGACGAAGAGGGCCAAAGTGAGTCAGGCGAGTCTCCTTGTCTCCACCCCCTTCAGCCAACCTTCAGCAACCCACTCGCACAAAATACACCTCCCCAGCAAAGCATGCTACCCCCGGTGATGGCACTCTTTGACCCAGAAGACCATGATCGACGCTTCGTTGGTACCCCCGACTACTTGGCCCCAGAGACCATCAATGGTGTTGGGCAAGATGAAGTCAGTGACTGGTGGTCCTTGGGATGCATCATGTTCGAATTTATCTTCGGTTATCCGCCTTTCAACGCGGCGACCCCCGACGAAGTATTTGAAAACATTCTGCATCGCAGGATCAATTGGCCTGATGATCCAGAGGAGTACACCTCGGCAGAGTCGTTGGATCTAATGAATAAGCTCATGACCCTCAACCCCCGCGAGCGGATTGGGGCCAATGCCGAAGAGAAGTTCCCCAACGGCGGAGCAGAGATTCGCAGCCACCCATGGCTATCTGAGATCAATTGGGATACTTTGCTTGAAGACAAGGCACAATTCGTTCCCAACATTGAAAATCCCGAGGACACGGAATACTTCGATGCCCGCGGTGCCACCCTTCAGACCT